GAAAATCTCTGAAAAGTCCAATGGCTGGGGCCTGGGTGAAAGACGGTGCTTTCCTGATGCTGGTTTCCCCATAGGCACTGGCAACAACCACTGTCCTGATCCTGGTCTCCTGTGCTGTCCACTGGCTTCTGAGGTGCTGAGATCTCTAATCTTGGGCTGTTTTTTGCCAATGTGACTCAGTGTGGCTGTCACCTGTGTACTTCCCTGGACACTCTGTGGACCCTCTGTTATGGTTTGTCTGGATGTCCCCCCAAAGCAGGCTTCTAGAGTTTATGATTGATCCATGGTCTAATGCTGGGATTATGGGTGTGAGAGCTACACCCGCCCTGGGGCGGGTAGCTTGCATACAGTATAAGAAAGGGAAAAAGGCTTACTCTTCCTGCTGCTGCTCCTCCTGCCTTTTTGCTCTTGCTGATTTTGCTGTTTTCTACCACCATGAACTGTTGCTTCTGCCATGGAGCCAGCCAAGTATGGACAGAAACCTCCACAAACTGAAAGCTAAATAAACCTTTCCTTCCTTAATTTTGGGCGTCAGGTATTTTGTCTTAGCAACAAGAGAAAAGTAATCAAGACACTCTGCAAACTGCCCTAGTTCCAGAAAACCTTTCCCCTTTCGTTTTGAAAATGTCTTCCATATAATTTTTTAACCTCTTCCTTTCCAGACATTGTTTCATTCTCAACTCATTCTGTGATGTTTATAGAACTCAGCTTTGTTAATGGATGCAGCATCTTTATTCATCTCCCTGAGATGTCAATTATAGATTAGAGTAGTTTTAAAACATCCTCCTGGTCTCTGAACTGCCTCTTCTACAAGCACAAGGTGTTTGTTGCCATGTGGCTTGTTGGTGGGTGGGCTGCCCTCTGCTCTTGTATGATATCTGTGGGGCTTCTAGGGTAGCTGCTTTCTAGGGAGGCTTCCTCTGGCTCCTTCCTGGACAGGCAGGAACTGACTTTGCAGAACATGAAAGTTTCCCTCCTTGTCACCCCATCCTGAGGCTACCAGACTTCCCAGGACCTCCTGGTTTGCCTTCTGGCTTAGGGGCAGCTTCTCACAGGCTGAAATTGTTTCTCTGTGCTGTTTGAAAGTGACTTCAAGAGAAAACTGCCATCTTAAAACCTCCTTCACTGTACTTTGTCAGGAGCAAGTTTGAATTTAGAGCAGGTGAGGTCCAGCCTAGTTGATCTGGGGCAAAACCTGGTAGGAGAGAGGATAGCTTGGAGGTACCTTCCCTGTGTCCAAGAAGTCCTGTCCAAGTCCCAGCCTAACCACTACTTGTCACGAGACCTCATGATTCACTTACTTGTCAAAAAAGCAGGCAAATACACATGAATGGAGCACAACAGAGAGCCAGAAATACTCAACATTAGTGTCCAAATTTTTGACAAGGCTGATGAGGTCAGTCAATATGAAAGAACAATCTTTTCAAATGGTGCAGGGACAGCTGGGTATCCATATGGGAAAGAATAAAAGTGGACCCTCATCTCATATCAAACAGCAAAATTAAAACTGAATCAAAAAAAACTGAATACAAAAAAAAAATAAGAAATGAAACTTTTAGAAGGAAAATGGAAATATGACATTGGATTCTTGGATGTAACATGAAAAACAGATAAAAAACACATTACTTTATTGACAGGAACAGTTAATAATTATTTGATCAATCTTACATGTCTATATTTGTTTTCCTGAGTAACCACTTTGAAGAAATCAATATGTAATACAACAACTATTGTTAATTTCCTATCACGTTGTCTGAATCTCAGTATTGCTTGTATTGCTCTTGTGTTATTTTGTAAATGCATGTGTGTTTGTTAATGTTTTCGTTCTCTTATTTTTTAAAATAAGAAAAAAACTCTGCAAAAAAAAACCCCACAAAACTGACTCTATAAAAATCTAGAACTTTTGTGCATCAAAAGACATATTCAGGAGCTGGGGATTCAGCTCAGCGGCACATCGCCTGCCTGGCAAGCACAAGGCCGTGAGTTTGATTCCCGGTACTGGAAAAAAAAACAAAGAAAAGACACACTCCACAGCAATTCATAAACTTGGTATGGTGGCACACACCTGTAATCCCAGCACTTTGGGAGAATGAGACAGGAGAATGGACAATTCAAGCCCAGGCTGTACAACTTGGTGACAGTGAAGCCCTATCTCAAAAAAAAAGGATGTAGCTCAGTGTAAAGAATAGCTGTGGGAGTGGGGACTCACAGAAAGGGAGAAAATACTGCAAATATGTCTGATATGGGATTAATATCCAGAATGCACAGAGATCCTACAACTCAAAATCAAAAAGACTAACAACCCAATTCAAAAATGGGTGAAGAGTTTGAACAGACACTTCTCCAAATAAATAGTCAGTTAACATGAAAAAATGCTCAAAATCACTAGGGATATGCAAGTAAAAACCATCTCATACCCAGCAGAGCAGTTACTGATGGAGAAGGACACCAGAACCCCTGCACACTGTTGGTGGGAATGTAAAATGTACACTGCTATGGAAAACAATTCAGCCGTTTCTCAAAAAATTACAAACAGCAGTTCCACTTAGATCTATAACCAAAGATTTGAAAGCAGGGTCTTGAAGAGCTACTTGTATATCCACGTTCACAGAAGCATTATTCACAAGAGACAAAGGTGGAAGCCACCCAAGTCTGCATCAGGGGAAGAATGTATAAACAAACTGTGGCCCATCTATACAACGGAATATTATTCAGTCTTTAAAAGGAAGGAAATTCTAACACATGGAACAATATGGGAGAAATGTGGACATTACACTCAGTGAAATAAACCAGAACCACTCGTGAGGTTCAAGAGCAGTCAGCTTTACAGAGGTGGAAGACGGAGGTTTCCAGGGACTGGCAGGGGAGGGGAGTTGGTATTTAACATGGACAGTCTCAGTTTTGCAAGCTGAGAAAGTTCTGGAGAGGAGTTGTGGTGGAGGCTGCACAACAAAATGTAGTTAATGCTACTGGGTTGTGCATTTAAAATGGCCAACAAGCAATTTTATGTATAGTTTATCAGACACACACACATTGGTGGGAACGTTCACCTTTTCCAATTTATCTACCAGGTATCCAGGGCCTTTGGTGTGGATCAGATATGGATCAAATAAGCAATCACACAGGCACAGACTGCATTTAATGCTGAGGAGATGCCCTGGAGCCCCAGGCTTGGGAGGAGCCCTCTCTACTCTCCACCTTCCAGGGCAGAGGTAGGATCTGAAGCCCAGGGCTGAAGAGGCAAGAAGGCAGTAAGACTCCAGCACCTGCATCCTGGGAACTGAGCCAACAGCAGGGAAAGTGGGTGCCATATCTGCTTGCCCACCACCCTCTCCCAAGGGGTGACCTCCCCATCCCCTCCCTGCACCTGGCACACATCCTCACCAGGATGGTGGCCAAGGAGGGATAGCTTGGACAGTTCCTTTGTGTAGGACCCTCTGAAGTGGGATCTGGGTAAGAACCCAGAATCTCAAGAAGCATCTCCACTTCTGCACTATGATGTGCAAACCCCCAGGCATACCTGCCATGTGGCAGGAGGGTAAGCAACTGCAAGAACCTGACTGAGGAGTGGCAAAGGGTCCCAGGTGACCTGGCCTCCCTGATGCCACCTCTTTGTGTGTCCACATTATTGCCAGCTCTCTGTTCACTCCATCCTAAAGATGGTGCAAGAGCCACAAAGGACGCAAGCATCCCTGCAACTTCTAACAGCCCTTAACTTCTCATGGCTCCTGGAGCAGTTGGTAATGTTCACACTGCCCCCATGTGGCTGAGGCTATGGCCGAGGCTATGTCCAACAGCCACCAAGAAGGGCACCACTGACCTTCTGTGCTTGAAGATGGATTTGTGCTGTGCAGCTGGATGGGCCCTGCTTCCTTCAGGTGGACATCTCCTCACCATGGCCCCTCTACTCCTAGCAAGTCACCCATCTTCATAGGTCCTCAAAACAGTGATGTCCCTACCGCACAGATGGAGCCCTGGCCCACTCTACACTCAGCCTCGTGTCAGAAGCCAGACTCCTGAAAGCAAAGGAGCTCAGGTCCTGAGTCCAGGCCCAGGTGTTCTTCACAAGCATTGGACCCTAGTAGATCCTGTACAGCCAGGTATGTGGCACATACTTTGGGGCATGTGGTACAGATATAGGCATGTGGGTAGAGGTCCTTCACCCTCGGGTGAGTGGCATGGGCAACCTCAGGCATGTGGCACAAACAGGTGTATGACAGAGATGCTCCACCCTCAAGTGTGTGCACAGGTACCCTCAGGCATGTGCTAGAGGCACAGGTGACAGAGATTCTTCACCTCAGGAGTGTGGTGAAGACAGACACAGGTACTGGCACAAGTGTATGACAGAGGTACTCCGTTCTCAGACTGTGGTACATGTACCCAGAGGTGCATGGTTCAGGTAGGCAAGGGTACAGGTGATGGCGGAGAGATGAGACTGGGCCAGGCCTAAGACTGGAGGAGGAACAGCACCTCCACAAGGTGCTCTTTGGCAGCCTAAGGGTGGGTGGGGGCCAGGGAGGGAGTGGAGGTGACAAGGGCCACAGCTGAAAGTCCAGTCCAGATACTGGTGAGACCAGTGTAAGCATCACTGAGCACTGACCTCACTGAGTCAGGGTCTCCTGCTGTTCTGTGTCCAGAAGGGACCCTGCAGGGACATGGGTGGAAATCCTCAGAGAGCCCCAAGCACTCCCCATGGGCTTCTTGGTTAATGACACTGCCTACCCCTCACGATCCTGCCAACCACAAATATCACAGAGATCCCAACAGTCCCCAAAGAAACCCACTTTCAGCTCACTAGCACCCACCAGAACCCAAATGTCTTCACGCCCCTCTCCTGGAACCTCAGCCCCATTTCCTTCACCTTGTTGGTGGGGAGCTTCTGTGGTGGCCCTTGCCTCTTGTCCCCGGGCTGTCCTGCTGATCTATGGGGACACACCTTTGGGGGCACGTGTGTTTCAGCTGGTGAGTGCAGGGGTGCTGCAAGAAGCTGAAGGCAGGCACAAGTCTGTACCACCGCTTTATTGCTCATGTTACATATTTCAGGGAACATGATAATCTTTTTTTTTAAAAAAGTAAGGCACATGAAAAGCCTCTGTGCAAGTTCTGTATTATTTTTAAATCCTATTGGCTAATAAAAGCATTTCCACTGCAGAACTGAAGATGTCTAAAAAAGCACGGAGTGCATTTTCCCAAGCAGAAATCTGAGCCTTGACTGCATCTTGCCGCATGGCACAATGAGCCACAGCCCAAGGTCTGTTACAACAGCAATGCAGTTACTATGACAACGCAAGAGCACTCATCAGTTACTCACATATGTACAGCTGGTCCCCAAGTTATCAATTACAGAGCCTGAGGAATAACAGCATCTAACTGTCTGTGTCCCACTTCATGACAGGTAAGGGATTTGGCATTTTCCATCTTCTTGTACATGATGCTGCTGTTCGTGAGGCCTGCATTATACGATGCTGAAGACCATGGAGAGATACTGCTCATAAGATACCTGGATCCAGCCATCCTGATCTGTGTCGTAGCGTCTGAATATGTCTGTCAGCCTCTGGGAGAAGAATAGGCATTTTATTTATTTATTTATTTTTAGACAGGGTCTCACTATGTAGTTCAGGCTGACCCTAAAACTCATTAAGTAGCTCAGGCTCACAGCAATCCTCCTGCCTCAGCCTCCTGAGTGCTGGGATTACAGGCAAGTGCTACCCAGCTAGAACAGGCATTTGGACCTTCATGCTCCAAAGAAAGAAGGTGGCTAGGTACAAGACACCTAGGAACCCAATTTCAGGAGTATACATGTCTTCATTTCCCAGCAGATGCTGGCGATTGGCACCAGAATACCCAACAGGTGGAGCTTGCTGCCCACCAGAACCATTACGGTGGACTGCTCCTCCTGATGGCTCCCCTTGCTGCTATGGGCATAGTACAGCTCAGGACTTGGAAGCCAGCCCTGCTTGGACTCCTGCTTTGGGATGAAAGCCCAGCAGGCAAGGGTCAAGCTGCACCCCACCTCCTGTTCATCCTGCTCTTCCCCTCACAGCCTGAGGCCAGAAGCAGAGTTGACACCAAACCCGACAGATATGGTTAAGGTAAGTGCCACTTCCACACTCTGAAGAGCCTAATGATATGTAAAAACAGGCAGATGAATTCCACGTGACACAGAAGAAAACAGCCCCAGGAGGGTTTGCACGCCCCACCTCCCACATGGAACATTTCTAACAAATGTCAGTACAGAAATAGTCAAGAGCCATAAAACTGCATTTTGGTCAATAGTGAACCACATATAGGAGAAGTGGCTGCTTTAGTCTGGACCTTCATGTCCCCAAGGCCCATGTGTTGAAGGCCAGGGTGATATGGGAGGTGGTGGAACCTTCCAGAGATGGAGCCCAACGGCAGCAAGCAGGGCCACAGAGGATACAGGGACCTGCCGCCTCAAGGTAAACAGGCCTTCTCTGCCACACACTTCTGCCATGATGCCTGTCACGGGCCCAAAGCAACCAGCCACAGACCAAATCCTCCAAAATTATGAGCCAAAAGAAGCCTTTCCTCTTACTAAGCTGATTTATCTCAGATACTTTTCATAAGAACAGAAAGTTGACCAGCACAGTGGCTACACCATTTAGGCACGGTGTGCCAGACTCTGCCCTGAAGGTGTATATAAGCATGCTCCACCAGGTTCACACAGTAATGGTATCTTCCTCCCCCAATAAGGCATCCCTCAGAATGTGTCCCCTCTCTGTGTGACATAGGAATGTATGAAAGGACATCAGTGGTAGATGACTCTAGCTTAAAGACTAAGGGTGGGGCTGGGGCTGCAGTTCAGTAATGAATGATTGCCTAGCATATGCAAGGCTGTGGGTTCCATCCCCAGTCCTGCAAAACAAAACAGAATGAACAGTACATTCTCTTCATGTTTTACTTTTTTGCCCAAGATTTGTACAAGGTTTTATGTCATCTTGAAACAAATAATTTTGAAAAAGCCTTTTCCTTTTTGGGAAAAAGCAAATTAAAAAAACATTTTTAGGCTATCAGGTCCATGCAAGACACCAGCCCAGGGTACTGAAGAGCTCCTCATGGAACTTGACTATGGGCATGTGGCTGTTCAAAGTCCAGAGGAGAAACTTTTGCTTAGGGAGAAAATGTTTACTTATGGGATACACGAACTCTAACTCTACAGCAAGTCAGTCAGTCCATAAGATTTCACACTGCACCTCTTTCTAAAGTGTTTAGAAAAGCCCAACCTCAGAGAATTTTGGGCAGCAGGGAGCAGACCGTGCTCTCCGTACTTGAAAGGTGTGAAGTTTGAATGCTACAGACTTGTCTCCACAGTCAGTGAAGAACAGGAGCTGATGTGTCATTTTTATCTACTTAATAGTTTATCCGAGCATCACTGAAGTAGGTGTCATTTCAACCAGTGGATTCTTGTTTGCAAGAGATACACTGTACATCTGTTTATCTGTTTTATATTGACTATTTTTTATTTACCATGCTGTATTCAGCTTTGATGTTCGTTTCTGGTAAAATTGAGTAATAAATTCTGGTTATTTTCTTTTACTAATTCGCATTTATTTTATTTGTGAAAAATAACCTACACTTTTGTGCTGCAATCTATAAACTCTTACTGTAAGTACATTAGATATGATTTTTGTACATCTCCAAAACTCAGTGCTATTCTTTTATAATACAAAATGGACACGTTTGGGACACTGAGACTGAATAGAAAGGAAGTGCCAAAAGATCTGCAAAAAAAACAGAGAAATGTTAGCATATCGGAGAAGAGTCTGTTATGACATGGAAAGATAAAAAAGACATCTCCTTATAGTCAACTATTCGTAAGACAGAAATGATACAACGTGAAAGAAGAAATGAAACTAAAAAAATCCCAGTAATGATCAATGATTATAATAATTCTATTGTGTTGACAGAGTTGACCAACATCTAACAAGTTATCCTGTAATCAAAAAGGAAAAAAATACTATAAAATATTTGTCCACCTTCTGGACTGAATATGGAACTCATTTGTTATTTATTTAAAATGAGGGGGTTCAAAAAGTCATTTACAATTTAGATTAGGCCTAACAGACTACATAGTTGAAAAATATGGGATAGCAAAATGCCAAGCAGGACATCCATCATCAACGTCCTCACCATTATGACCAGTGGGTAGACGTTTTATTGAAATTATATCACCCACAAGCACAAAGGAAAGGCCAGCACGGCACTGTACAGTGTGTTGTTCAAAGAAAGGCAAAAATGCAAAAAGAATTCAGAAAATGATCAGGTCCTTCTGTCCAGACTGTAATGTTGCACTGTGCGAATGTTTTAAGATATACCACAGAGAAAAATTATTGAATAAATCTGATAAAACTGTCATTTTTATATTTCCTATTGTATTATAAAAATTAACAAAAAATGCAATTTCTGGTCATCTTGTATTTAAATAACTGGACTGGCAATTACTTAAGGAAACCGTGGCGAACTGTACAGTACTTAGCAGGCAAAATCGGTGAAAGTATCTATTACTGATCTATCATTTAATTGGAAAAACAATCTGAGAATATTTTACAAAACCCTACACTACTTCTAAAAACATAATGCTGTCCAAATCTCTCAAAGATTCCAAAGACAATGTGATCTCAATCTGAGTCAAAACTACATATAAAGATTTACCTTTCAGAGACAGGTTCTACTGAAGCATTTATGGAGAACACATTTGCATCCCATAAAACAGAATGTTTCAGGTGATGGGGTGGCATGCAGTTATGAGGAGGTACATACATAACGAATTTGAGCTCACACTGACGAAATCTGAACATTACCTTTCCTCTCTGCTACTAGTTTTTGTTTTTTTTGTTTTTTGAAACAGGGTTTCACTATGTAGTTCAGGCTGGCCTCAAACTCACTACATAGCCCAGGTTGGCGTCAAACTCACAGAAATCCTCCTGTCTCAGCCTTCCAAGTGCTGACGTTATAGGCATGCACCACCACACCCAGCTCTGCTGCTGTTTCTGACTAAAATTTTTTGCAGTAAAAAATTTAAAGCCAGGTATGGTGGCGCACACCTGTAATCCCAGCACTCAGCAGGCTGAGGCAGGAGGATCCTTGTGAGTTTGAGACCAGCGTGGGCTACAAAGTGAACTCAAGGCCAGTCTGAACTGCATAGCAAGACCCTGTCTCAAAAAGACAGAAAAAAAAAAAAAAAAAAAATTAAGATATATAGGGTTTATCAATCCACCATATTTCCAAAGCTTAAACCTACAGAACCTCTACCTAGAAATAGCAGCAGGGCCTGCACGGAGCCAGGCAATAGTGCTGTGAGAGCCACATATTGCTCCCAGCAGGGACATCTTGAGGGCAGGGATGTCCTGAGGGCTGCACTGTCCTCTGAATATCCTAGCGCTGGGGTGGCAAACGTATACACATGCCACAGTGGGCACACAGATCCCTCTCTGTGGGCATGTGAGCCAAATCCCAGCATCGCCCCCATAGCTGTGGATCAGATAACAGTGCACAAAAGGGACGTGCACACACTCAGAAAGCAGCAGCAGTGCCAGCAATGACACCAACAACCAAGACTCACTATCCACACAACTCGTCAGTTAGTCAGATGCAGATTTAATGGTAGTGCTGGCAATTTGGGATAAATAAGTGGGTTTTGGGTTGCAGTTGGGGCGCTCGATCTCTAGGTTCACTATCACTGTCCTAGAGGAACTGGAGCAGGGTGTGACTTCCTGATGAGCAATCACAGAATGCAGTAACACTAGATGCATGAGGATGCTGCACACATGCTATTTACAGTGAACTTTTTTTTAAGGAGTAGAAGGTGCTACACTACAGCAATAAAAAGTATGGTATAGCAAATACATAAACCAGTGAAGAAATTATTATTATCAAGGATTACTTACACCACTCTTCTTACCAGTTGCAGTGAAGGTTTGTTTACACCAACATCGTTGTAAACATGTAGTGCCTGATGCTATGATGTCACAATAGGGCCAATGTCACCAAGAGACGGGAACTTTCTAGCTCATTATAATCATCGAGCCACCTACTAGAATGCCATCTTGTGGTGCGTGACTGATTTTCAAGATTAGAAATGACACTAATGTTTACACTTTGGTTAACAGAACTAGTTACATCTCCAAAGATGAGACTCTTTTTTGAGGAGTAGGTATTTTGAGACAGGGTGTCTTTGTAGTTTAGGCTGGACTTGAACTTGTGGCAGTCCTCCTGTCTCAGCCTCCCAAGTGCTGAGATTACAGCCATGTACCACCATGCCCAGCTTGAGACTTGTATAAGCTCCAAAAGCTAACTCTAAATGAGCCTGATCCGCCGATCCCCACTCTGACTGCCACCCTGTTCTGGCCCCACCTGGCGTCCATGGCCACAGTAAACCCAGGGGATACCAGTGTCACCTGCAGGACTATGCAGCCCTGTATGAAGTCATCAAAGGCAATCTGCCCTCGTCCTTGTCTGTCAAACTTGCGGATGAGGATGTCATGGAACTGGTCAGAGAGCCGGTAGCCTTGGAGAAGAAAGATCAGAGTCAAGAGAGCTAGGAGGTGCCTGGCTGCCCCAGTTCTCCCTCCCAAGACCCCACAGCCTAACAGCAAACGACAGCTAGGTGGAAGTAAAAGTGTGAATTTGCTCAAATGCACTCTGAGAACCAAGAGTGGACTACATTAGTCTGAAAAAAATTTACATTTTTAGTACTATGATGTGAGCTACCTGAAGACCATTATCACCCTTACAAGGACAAGCCACCACTGTCCTATCGTTTGCCGTGAGCTCACTGTTTATTAGTTAACTGCACTCACTCCATGCTGTACACACACAAGTGGCCTCTGGGGCAGCCAGGCATGGTGTCCTGAACCCAGGGAAACCACCTCAACATCAAAGTTCTGAATGACTCACTGCCTGGCCTACACATTATCAAAGAATTGCTTTGAAAACTAAAGTATCACAGAAGGCTCCAGTTAAACAGATGCTGACCTGAGGAGAGGGGTTAACCGATGGGGACCCCCACATATGTCAGAGGATCTGACATCAGGACATTGAGGGGATAAGCGCAGAATCACCACTGGGTCTTCAAGTGTATGGTTCCATTTCAATCTGCTGAGCAGGTTGAGGAAAAGTCTCCAACAGGGAGATGGCTCTGAAGACTTGTAGACACACTCCATGTGCCCAGACACCCCTGAAGACACATTGAAGGAGGGTGCACCTACTACCTGTGTGACTGTAGTATCCTTACTGATTCAGGAGACACGATCCAGGTGCCAACAGGTTTTTACTGGTTTTCAGACTTTCGGGCCTCACACCTACTGTCTGAGTGAATCTCACAGTTAATTACCTGTACAGACATTTGATCATTTTACTGATAAAGACTCAAACATGCCAACATGTTCACAGCACCTTCAGAGTGGCCAGTAAGCTGGTTCCTTAGTTCAAGGGCCCATAAACAAATGATGGAGGGCAGCACAGGACCCTTCCCAGTAGGCCAAGTGGAACACAGGACTCCAACTGAAGTCTGAAGATACAGCAGGTAGGACTGGCAGCCATACCTCCTAACACCCAGCATGTAGCTGGCAGGTCAGGCAGCAGTCCTGACTGAGCCCAGCCCAATGAAGACAGAACCTGGGACCTGGTCATGGGGTGCTGCCTGTGCAGGTATGGAACAGATACTGACAGCCAGTGCTGGTCTCCTGTAAGAACAGGGCAGGGACAGAGGAGGGGGAAAAAAGACAGAGGATCCAGTCTGATAGACATGGAAGCAACTCCTCACCTCCTGGACCTAACTTCCAATTTTCTTGTCATAGGAAAGTGAGAACAAAGGTGAGGCTAGTAAAGAGAATGACAAATGAGCAAACCATGAAAGAAGAATGCTCATTTGAGAGGTCAAAACCTGAGCAAGAGAGCAACACCTTCAGCACCCATAGCTACTCTGCATGCAGGCCAGTGAGCCCCCCAGGCCCAGGCCACCCAGACCTGGTGTCCTAACTACAGGCTGCACCAGCTTGCTGGGGTTTCAGGGTGAGGCTTTCCAGGCCTTCTGTCTCAGAACAATGCTCTGATTTGGAAATGCTGCTGAGCCAGGCAGCATCTCACCCTCCACATGAACTAAATTATCTATTCCTCCTCCCCTGGAGCTGCACCATCCAACAAAAAGAGCTACCAGGGCCCAGACTTCAGACAGCAGCCAGGTCACAACTCTATCAGGTGAGTCTCAGCCCTCCCAGGCCTGTGCATGATCAGAGTAAGGGGAGATTGGGACACTCCTTGCCCCTCCTTGTTGCTGCCAACCATCCTCTGCCAGAGCCATCAGATGACAACAGCCTCAATGAATGAGGACACGAATACCTTCTCTATGTCCGCTTCCAGGAACAACAGCTCTCACTGATGGTGCAGTCTCCCTTTGAACTCACAGGAGGGTTGATGCCACGAGAAAACTGCCCTGCAGACACTCTAGGCCTGGGCTACATTGCTGGTGGGCTGGTCAACACCAGGCCAAGCCCCTGGCCCACCACCATGACCAGCCCCAGGAGGAGCACAGCTGGCAGTCACAGCACTGTCTGAGAAAAGCTGAACTGAAATCAGTGACTGAAAAGGATCCACACTGTAGCAACCTATGCCTCCAGCCAACCAACAGCATGAAGGTGGGGGGACTGCGCCTCAGCTTTGCTTGACCTAAGTCATAAAAGTCACAGAAATGCTATCAACTTTGTAAGGCAAGTAGACGGCAGCACAATCTCATGAACAGGTGTACATCCATGTTCCAGTTACACAACGAGGGCATGGGGTGGATCCCCTCTAATATATTCAGCCATAAAAGGGAATACAAATGCAGTAAAGAGACAGGAAATGACTGAAGTAGGTTCATTGTGCTCCCACAAAGTTTTCATTATTAAAAATGGAAACTGGCTGGCCACGGTAGCACTTGCCTCTAAATCAAGTACTTGGGAAGCTAGGCACAAGGACTGCCTTGAGTTCAAAGCCAGCGTGGGCTACATAAGTGAGTTCAAGGCCAGCCTGTACTACACAGTGAGACCCTGTCTCTAAACAGATACATACAAACCAATAGAAACTGCAAAAGCTACCAGATAGGCTGGGTGAGGAAAGGAGAGTCACAGGGAGCAGAGGCTTTGGTGGTGAGGACTAGTCTCTCCTGACATGCTGCTGCGGGTAAGCCTGACTTCAAGCCAACAAACTGCTGGGGGAGGTATCCATGCCCACCAGGGTCTCAGGGCCTGGCTGCAGGTGTTAGTACAGTTTGAGTGCATGGAGCATGGATCATCAGTCCCCAGCAGGCACCACGAGTCACACAGTGCCACCAAGACTGGCCTGAGACATCCATGACAAGTTCCTTGGCCACTGTTGAGCTCCCCAGGTCACCACACAATACACCTGTTTTCAAGAGTCAAAAAAGAAAATGGGGAAAAAAAAAAAAAAAAAAAAAAGGGATAAAAAGAAAACGGATGCTTGCTTCTAAAGCCAACTTACTAACAATTACCACCAAAAACTTTCCAAAATAATATGCAAGTAGAATAATGATCATGCTCCTTTTCATGGGCAAGGGAGACAGCCCTGTGAAATCAGGAACCACATACAGGAAGAAACTGAGTGGGACACTAGGAAAACTCTATGCATAGTGCTACTCCTCCAGAAAAGGTTCAGGAAGAGTCTGGCACTGTCCCACTGGTTTCTGACCAGCTACACCTCCTACCACAGCCACATGCATGAATATTTCTGGAATGTCCTTGCTCTGCCCAGGACACAGAGAGCCTGGAAGACCAGGACTATTGCCTCCACCAGTTCCCATGACCTTGAAAAGAGCTCCAAGGCCTTTAGCCTGGAGCAGGCTGATGCTCCACTGACACTGAGGTGATTTGTTCGGACATGATTCACAAGCCAGGCCCATCCCCAAGTTCAAGAGGCTCTTGTCCCACTAGGCAGCACTGGACCCCCCTTATCTCCTACTTGGCCCTGTCCAGGACCACAGGGCCTCCCTGGGCCCTAGGGCCACTCTTCACACAGGCCATTCTTATCACTTTCCCTGAAGACACAGGCCAGCCAGGGGCCCTACCATGTCTCCCTACCTAAGGTACAGCAAAGTAATCTGCATCCCAAGTTTCAATTTGTAGTCATCCTGCCCAAATCCTGGCCTAAAACTAACTTCCTGGGGAGACACCATGCCTCTAACCAGTTGTATGGAGAAGCTCATAAGGTGAGACAGGAGAGAGAGGAGACAGCCACAAGGTATATGCTAGAGAGGTGGGGAGAAGCACAGGAGCTGCGTTAGCAGCCACAAGACGTGATGTGCTTTATGGTAGTATGACTCAAACAAGCCATGATACGTTAAATCATAACCAAAATTGGTCTATATAACCAATTTTCTAAAAGGCATTTATAAGCAACCTTTTAAGTAAAACACAGGTTCTGGTAATATAAGTCAGATGAACAGAGCACTGATTGAGACTGTCCCAAACAGACAAAAGTCTTGGTGAAACTGTAACAAACCTTGGGCTAATTCCAAACATTTGGTATTTACTTTGTAAATAAAAATACCTGCAACAGGTGTGGTGGCTCAGGCCTATAATCCCAGCTACTTGGGAGGCTAAGGCAAGAGGATAGCAAGTTTGAGGCCAGTCTGCACAACTCAGACATCCTGTCTCAAAATTTTAAATAAAGTAATTAATAATTAATTAAACAAAAAGGGCTGGAGGTTTAGTTAGTTCCGTAGTACAGTGCTTGCCTAACATGGATGAGGCCATGGGTTCAGTTCCTGTACTGCCCCCCACCCCAACATCTCCGCTTCCTCTCACACCCAAGACCAGTTCTGGCAGCACTGGCTACACTCTGGACAGGTACTATGAACACTTGTGAGAAGCACAGCACACTGTCACACACCTGAGCCCAACTGGAGTGTCCGTGTGCGCACATGCGCCGAGCTCACAGGCTGGATGCACTTGAGAATGGGCTCCTGCACTTCCTCTAACTCCAGAAGAGCAGAATTTGAGCAGACTGAGAGCTAGACCTGGTAATTTACAGGACTGTTTCTTAGGGTTACTTTATCATGTATCCAAATACCATGTATTCTGGTGGTTCCTGCACAGAAGCTGCTCCACACCATTTTTTCATTTATCCATTTTAAGTTACTTTAAAAGCCACATTCTCAATTTTGTTCTTGACATCAACACACTTCACAAAAGTGGACAGGTGATTTGCATAGCCCTTATCTCATTTTGGAGGAAAAACTGCATAAAAGATTCCATGTCAAATATAGGCCTGCATGACATAAACAAGAAATATGAACCTCTACAATGTAAACAGAAATTAACATGGCTGAGTTAAAAGTCAGTAAGTTGAACAAAATAAAAGGCACTGCAGGGCCCCTGGGTTCCAAAATGAAATATGCTACACAATCAAGACAAGTGAATTACCAAAACCTGAGAGTGCTTGCTTGAGCTCGTTCTTGTCGATCATCCCCGAGTTGTCCCTGTCGTAGGTACGGAAGACGTTCTGCCAATCCGTGATGTACTTCCACACACCTGTAAACTCGCTGAAGTTGACGCCAGCTTTGTTCTCTCGGTCAAACATAGCTGAGACAAAGCAGACAACAGTGACCATCGGGTCCCTGCTCTAAACAGGCTCAACCACATGCATATGCTCAGCTGTCACTGCAGGCCTCAGTCCTCCCAGATGCCAACACAGCACCAACCTGTGGCTCTAAGCCCTAAGAAATGTTCATTTACTGAGTACGTCTGGATCCTTAAAAGCCCTGTCCCCTCTGCCAGGGGTCGTGGGGGATGGATTCCCAGTCCCAGCTCTAAACAAGAGAAAGAATGGATACTAAGGGCTGTACAGGAGACTACAGTGGCTCCATGGTAAAAATTAAAACAATGTTTTGTACTGAAGTGGATCGTGGAAAGCAGGCCCACTGTGGGTACTTCTGTTTCACTAAAAGGAATCCGTAGTGCAGAAGTTGAGTGTCCTCCATTCTCCTGGCTAATTCTGGGCCAAAGGTGACTCTTCTGCATGCCAAGATCTATATACATCTCCTGGAAAAAACTCAGAACAGTTCTCATGGGGCAACAGAAGCCTATGTATTTTAATTAGAAAAAGACACCCTAGACTACTGTCCTGTTAGCTTTAGGTTTTTCAAAAATAAGACCTGACTTTACCTGGGAAAGGTCGTATACAACTGTAACTCTGGGAGGCTGAGACAGGAGAATTGCTAGTTTGAGCCCAACCTGGACAACTCAGCAATTTAGTGAGACCCTGTCTCAACACAAAAAATAAAATAGGGTTGGGAAGGGCAACTCACTGTGATATCCTTGTTCAATCCCCAGAAATGAAACAAAACAAATAAAATAAAACACAACAGTGTAATTCCAGCTCCAAAAACACAAAAACAGATAACCACACATTAACTACATACATATAGGTGTATTTGCAAAATGGCCATAAAAACATACCAACTCAGCATGAATACTGTTGAGGAGAAAATGATGTACCACTGGGCCTCCTCAGGCACTGAGGTAGATTGGAGGCTGCAGTAAGACCACCCATTGTAATTCAGCGATATTTCACATGAGGAAAGACTGTGTGAAACAGTGTTAATGTGCCTCCATACTATCCAGAATGAGGCTTGCACCCCAGTGCTGGTTTTTACATCTCTACCCGGGACACAGGCTGCACTGAAGGGTGGATGAGCGACTGCTGTGGCTGGCTCCAACACACAGCCCTACTCCAGCAGGGAGGTGCACAGGTGCTCCTGCCCCATCCACATTGTCCCCATTGCTGAGTATCAGTACACCCAGGAGCTCTATCAACATTCTGTGGCCTGGAGAGGCTCCATGCAGTGCCTGCAGCTCTCTGCAATGCACTATAGAGCTCATAGACAGTATGGACAACCCACCTCCATAGATTAAAACTTGTATACAGAATGGGAGGCAGGGTGAGAAACAGCACCTCAGACACAGGGCTTGGCCCTACAGAGTGGAGAACTGAACCAAGATCCCACATTAAAAAGAACCTGGAAGGGAGTTACATCTTCAGAAGAGTAGGCTAAGGCAAATCCACCTTACAGCAAAGCAAACCTTCCAGAAATTGAAGAAACAGCAAATTTTCTTCTGACACCATGAAGCTGCAGGACCATCCTCTCTGGATCTGGCCCTCAAACCCTCACTAGGGATTTCTGTGCAGCCAAGAAGGACCCATGCTGAGAATCCACATCCTGGCCAACAGCAACAACATGAGTTCTTTTCTGGAGGGTGTGCCCCACGTCAGGCCCCGGTTTGCTGTATTGAGTTCATCCAAACACAAACCCATAATACAAAGAAAAATTACAAAAATATCAAGGAAAGTATCCACATGTGTGAGGCTCAGCAGGAATAAATCAGAAAGAGACCATCCTCTCAAGGGTTTAGGGTCATCATAAACACAGGGAAAAGTAGTATTTCTATGTGTAGTTTTTCACAGAAATTTTTACTCAAACTTTAAAAGATATCATATATAACTATGGAGAAATACAAGATGAAATCACAAAAAATGAGCAATAAGAGACTATCAAAAATAACCAAATAAGGCTTGAAATTAGAAAATGAAACAGATCAAGCTGTAAATTAAAACTAAAGAATCAGTACAGCATAGTGGCACATGCCTGTAATCCTAGCACTGGAGAAGCTCAGGCAGGAAGATCTCTGTGAGTTCAAGTGCAGCCTGGGCTACATAGTGAGTTCAAGGCCAGCCTAAACTATGTGACACCCTATCTCAAAAAAACAAACAACAACAACAAAAAGCAATGTACACAGAAAAAAGCTGTGCAGAGGCAGGGAGAATAGGCTGCCACGACCCAGCACCAAGCTGCAGCCAGAGTGGAAACAAGCTCATCCAAGCAGCACCCAGAGAGTTGACAGTGCCTGTCTGCAGGGATACTTACAAATGATTGACCTCACAGTCACTGGATTAAATGGAGTCCATGTGCCTGAAAACAAATGACACAGAATATCAATTAAACAAAAGGTCATTCTATAGAATTCTGTAAATGCCTGACCCAGAAGGCAAGCTGGCAAGAGTCACTGGCTGCTGCAGAGCAGAGGTTCGCATGGGGGCTCAGCCCAGGACACCGAGGACTTTCTGGCTGCCATGACTCCAGAGGACCCTATGCACAGCATCATCTGCTGCACCCTGCAGGAGCTCCCCGTGTTCTTCTGTCTGTTACCACCCAAAACTGGATGTCAGCTTTCTCTGGAGCTCCATCTGTGCAAGTTTCTAGGTACAGCAGACATGATAGGCTGTACTAGGCCCCCAAACCACTCTCAGGCTATACAACTCTCTAAGACAAGACTCAAGGACACAGTGTCTTACACAGAGCAGACACAGCCCAAGGACAGGGGTGGGAAACCAGGCATGAGCTTCCACACTGTGGCGAGGCCATGCTCACGTCTTCCACAACACTTCAGGGGTCACCTTCAGGGCAGCTGTCCTGAGCCTGGGAGTCCAGGGTCTTCCAGAGTGTTACCAAGCCCTACTTGCTCAGAGGGAAGCAGGTAGTTGCCGCAAACTACATCCTTGATATAGACCATCCAGGCAAAGTGGTACAACTTAGCTGAAGGCCCTTCGTCTGAATCAGACCATTCTAGAACTCAGTTCCCAGAGCTGAACAAGGGCTAGGCATCTAACAGGCTTTTCTTGGAAACATGAGGGCTTGGGCAACCCAGCCTGAGAGGCTAACCCAGGGATCAAAGTTATAGATAGGCCCTGAACTCTCCAATTCATCGTAGAGCTATAAACACCATCACCTATAACTGGGCCCATGTGCAAAAAGGACAGTTAATTGACTGGATGATTATTCTATATAGAATTCCTGTATATATGATCTGATTTCTCTCAGTTCCTTTGGGAAGGCTGTCGTTTATTGTGAGAGAGGGTTCTGCCATGTAGCCCAGGTTGGCCTTGAACTTATTATGTACCCCAGACTGGCCTCAAACTCACAGCAATACTACCTCAGCTCCCCAAGTGCGATTATGGGTGTGCGCCACCACGACCAGGATCTCTCAGTTCTTTTATTAGACAGTTTTAACTAGAACTCTATCTGATAAAACTACCTTCAAAAGAAAATAAGATTTTTTTAAAAGCGCAGTTTAAAAAGTCTCCTTGAATTATACCAATATGTTAAGACATGTCTACTTTGAATGCACCAAAAGGAGGCTTGAGAAAAATTAATTTGTCATAATCCCAAGAAACAGTGTAGCAGTTAAAAAAAAAGGGGGGGGGGAGGGACTAAGTACAAAACAGAAGCCAGGCATGGTAGTACATGCCTATAACCCTAGCACTTGGGAAGCTGAGACAGAAGGACTGCAACAAGTTCAAGACCAGCCTGAATGACATAGTAAGAGACTGAGAAGAAAGAAAGAGAGAAAAAGAAAGAGAAAGAAAGAAAGAAAAAGAGAAGGAAAGAAGGAGGAAGGAAGAAGGAAGAAGGGAGAAGGGAGGGAGGAGGAGGGAGGGAGGGAGGAAGGAAAGAAAGAAGGACAGAGTATATTGTCATGTGGTTCTCCACTGATCACAGCAGCTCTTGTGGATACAGCTCAAAACAGGACCCAATCAGGACTCATAGACACTCTCAGTATGGTGTCAACCAGATGGCAACAGAGCTCCCAGAAGCTCAGACCAAGCTGAAGTAAGAATCTATGCAATTCTGTAATTTCACTTTCCTACTAGTAATATGTTAAATTCCCTGAAATGGCTTAATGACTTAGTTCCAATATCAAAACAGAAGACCAATCCTGGGAGAAGAATAGAAGTCAAAATGGTTTCAACCACAGGCACTGAAAACAGAGACATTGATCCATCCAGTGACAAGTATCCTGTGCCTATAACACAACACAGCTGTGAACCTTCATTATGAAGTTTACAGTCTAGGAGCCAGAGAGAGCTGTAGTTTGAAAGCTGTCCCCTCCGAAACCCATAGTAACATTAGTGCCACTGTTGGGCATGAGGACTCCACCCCTGAGAAAGGGGTAGGGGCTTTCTCTTTGGAGTAGGTGAGTCATGGCAGGAGGGCTCCTGGTGATAGGATAATGTGGCTCCTTCCTCTCAAACTTACCCTTCCACCTTCTGCTCTGGGCAGCCAAAGTCTCACCATGCTCTTGGCTTCCCAACCTGCACACCTGGTCTGGGGAATTATTACAACAGCAGGAAAAGAACTAAGATAGGGTGCATCAGAGAAAAAGGAGAATGCTGGTCCAAAGGCAGGAGTAGTAGAGAACCACTGTCCACTGAAGACAGGCAAGGAGGACATGGGGTGCCTTGCAGGGACAGGGTCCACAAAGGCAGTTGGTGGACACCAGTAAGCAGACACAGGTGGGAAACCCCGGAGGCCTCACAGTGAATGTCCAAATGTGGGTTACGGCACAGCACATGGTGTGATGTGCAAAAAGAACACACCTTGGAGTTCAGACTTGGGCTCTGCAACATTAACACCACAGACAAGTAAGAAGCTTGGGGCTGCCACCACCTGCATTACAGGTAAGTGTAGAAAGCTCAGTGCTCTCACCACCTGCTCTGTGAGGCTGTAAAAGGACCAGGAATTTGTGCTCAGTGATAATCTGCCTTACTCCAGAAAGAGCTTAAAGAAACTTAGAAGTATATTTGTGCTACATAAAATAAGTTAAATTTACTTATGTTGGCTGGAGACAAAAAGGAGGGTAAGAGAGAAAGAAGAAAAGAAAGTAAGGAATCCAAGGCAAGTTCAAAAAATACACCCCTTAAAAATCCCAAACCCTACCACAACAAACAACAAATTTGATGTTAAATTTTTAGCAGTTAATTTGAAGAAGAAAATGTACTCAGCAGATACAGGGTTTGCAAGATACAAACAGAGCAGCACCACAGTTGTGTTGGACATACAGAGCGCTGTGCCTCCAGGGAAAAGAAAGACGCCATCCTTGGGATTAACAATAACCAGTGTGCCTGGTTCTCACACCTGCAACATGAGCCTAGGGTTCCCACCCCTACTGGGGGACAAAGCTTCATTTTGGCCACTGCTAACATTCTCTCTCAAGCAGCTCTTGATAGAGACTGAGTGGTAGCTGAAATCAAGGTTATATTCTGACAGGTACTTGTTGAGGATTAACACCTACTGGTGAAAATATAGGGGGCCTAAATCCACAGTTCAGAACAGGTGTTGTAGCTGGGCATGGAGGCACACACCTGTAATCCCAGAACTCAGGAGGCAGAGGCAGGAAGATTGCTGAGAGTTTAAGACCAGCCTGGACTACGTAGCAAGACTTTTTTTAAAAAAAAAAAAAAGGTGTTGTTTCCCCCTCTCCCGCCCACTCCTGGTAGGATAAGGTCTACTAAAGGCCCCAGCACCATGCCCACACATCGTAAGTGGACTCCACCAACTTCACCACTATCAAGTTTTGGATACCCATCCAAGACCTGAGCTGGCTCCATAGCCAATGACACCAGGAGTAACACTACTCATTGTCGTGGCTAACTCTCCAGGCACTTGTGTCATGCATCCTGGGAAGTATGTTGCCTGCATTTCCTCAATATACTCTTTGGGTATTGATGCAGACACTAAGCCCCAACAGGTTAAGTAGTTGGCCAAGATCACATTGTTGAAATAGGGAGAGCCAGGACATGAATCCAGCAGCCCCAGGTCCCCAGTGGAGTCCTCCAAGGTGGACAAGCTGTCATACAAATGAGGTTGAGTATCTGACCACCACCACCAGTTGAGCAGTTTCACACAAAACCTAAACCAGGTCAGTATTTTCAAACATTAAAGCAAATCAACAAAAAAGAGGTTGTTTACAAGTTCCCAAACTTAACCACTCACTGGAAACCACTGAAAACAAGTGTTTCTGAAGATGATTCAGGAGTATTCTGTGCCACCCTATTGCCACACATATGAAGCATGACATGAAGACACCATTCATTCTGGTCACTTGGGAAGTTTCAGGATAAGAATTTCCAAATTGTGGCCTGCTCATGTAGATGCTTTTGAGGTCTTTCTAGAAACCCTTGCCTTGTCCTTCCCATGGATGAAACGAGCACTGGAGATGAAAAGCACAGATAAAAAGAGTAAATAATAACCAAAAAGGAGAAAAATCAAGAAGGCACCATAGCGGGAATGGAGTCTCTTAATTGCCTGAAAAAAATCTAAGTAAAGATGTAAAATAGCACCTCAGTACTTGTGGCCCACACAGTAAAATGACATCAGTGGCCTCTATGGTTCTAGAAGGCAAATGTGTTACCCTGAAAACACAGACCCTCATCTTAACACACATCACCAGAAATGGATGCTTAATGCCTAGCACGTATCAACAGCTAGTGGTTCCCCTTTAAGCCTGGCTCCAACACTGGGAGGCCCTGTGCAACAATCCAGTATTGCCTGTTTCCTTGCCTAGTCAACTATAACATGAAAGTGCTTCCCACTAATAGATGAGCCTTTCAACATTTCATCAGATCTTAAAACTAGGCCATTTTCCAGCTTACTGGCACACCTCTGAAAAAGCAACCTATGAATATAGTAAGAAAAGATGGCTTTATCTTAGGGATTACAAAAGGCATTTAATGAATAATAATGTCTCTAGAAGTACCATCAAAGATTAATCAGGATGACATCAGCAAGACCATGACTCCATGGAGAGCCCCCAATCACCCGTACACAAGGCCTGCACTCTTTCCTTGCCTGAAGGCCTAGTATTCCCCACACTGAGAAAAACACCTCTCCATGATCCCATTGCCATAGCTTCCAATATCCCTATTTCTCAATTTGGCCCTACAGTTTCAGCAGTTCCCAAAGCAACCACATTCCCATTCAAGTACTACACAGCCTGTCTCTAATCCCTTCAACAATTACCTCTGTGTCCCCTGACAACCCTTCAGTGCTTTCAGTGATCATCTCCAGAGTTCAGGTTCAGTTACCAAGAAATGCCAGGATCTTCAAGACACCTAAAGGATTTCTGCTGCACAGAGCTAAACTTCCTACCTCCTCCGTAAAACCTACATCCTAGCTCCCATTTCTCAGGCAGCATTTTCCAATCCTCACATGAATCTTGTTTTGGAGTTCAATGCGGCAGCATTAGTGATAATAATGAAGAAGTTACCAACAACGTAAGTCAGAAACACCTCCATCTCCCTCATGTATTAGTAATAGTAACTTGGTCTTAATTAACTCTCTGTACTTGGAAATAAATTCCAGAAAAGAAACTGCTTCCTTGAGTGGATGAGGCTTTAACTCACCATTGGACAATGCTTGCTGAAGCTCGTTGTCTGATATCACCCCACTCCTGTCTTTATCAACCCTACAAAAGCAAAAAGACTAGGTAAGCTGGTGATGAAAAGTGCAGGAAAAGCAAAATATAACAAAAAACAAACGTTTATTTCTTCTGTCAACCCTACAATAGTCTGTAGTTCCTCTCGCAGATCTTTTCCTACTCTGTCAGAACTTCACTGACACGTGTTATGCTGAGACCCCTAAGGGATTACCGTTGCTGCTCATATTCCCTTGGTTATGCCCATGGCCTGAAGCAATTCAAACCTGCTCCAGTTCCTACTATTTTTCACAAACAGGAACAGATTTTCTGGGATAATGAAGTCATTCTATGGCCATGAGTCACTCGATTTACGGTCATTCCTTCAGTAAGACGACCTAGGGCTGACTGCCACACTGGTCACCTGCCCCGAAGTTCTCCCCGCCCTTTTTGAGATGCTGCCATTTTCACAGCGCGGAATCTGGCCTGCTCCTGTTCTGCTGAAAAAGAGTACCAGTGACCTCTAAGGTCAGCTGGAATCTGCTCCTCAACCCTGAGTGTCTTGGCACGGCGCCGCGACCCTGAGCCTCGGGTCCACAGCTCGGGAAGGGTTGGCACGTACGAGAGCTTGGGGGGCAAAGGAGGGCAAAGGAGGGGGGCCGGCGCGGACAAGGGAGGGGCCCGGGACCTGGGAGGCCAGAGAACGGAGCCTGGGAAGACGTGGGAGGAGATGGGACTGGGAGAACGCTGCGGGAGAGCACAGGGAGGATGACGCGGCATGAGGGCCAGGGTCCCAGGGGCACCGGACTCACCGCTGAAAGACGTTCCACAGGAAGCTCTGGTCCGGCAGCGCAGCGCCCGCAGCAGGGCCCGGGCCCGGGCCCGGGCGGTAGGAGTAGGCGGCCATGGGCAGCGAACCGGCGAAGAAAAGACTATGGTGGAGCGGCTCTGCTTCCGCCTTTGCTAGGACCTGGCGCCCACGCCACTTCCGGGGACACCGGAAGTGCATTCCTTCAAATCACGGGCTGGCCTGACCAATCCGCTCTCAGCTCAGTTGCTGGACAACGCCGGAGGGTCTGCTTTGGTGGTGGTGAGGTCTCTTGAGCCCAGAGTTGTGCCAGCCACTCTGTCCTGCCCTGGCTTGTCCGCCGCAGTGCCGTGTTCTGTCCCTGCCCTCGGTACCCTGTTCCGCCCTCGAGGAGAACCGCGGAGGCGCCAGGAGGGGGAGACCGTGCGGGGTGGACTTTCCAGAACAAGCCCAGGCCGAAATGGGAGGGATTTAACTGGACTGAGGACAGACCCGGTCCATGTGAAAAGAAGTACGGCTGTTGCCCGCAGTCCAAAGTATTGGGTGGAGAAGGAGCGAAGCATTCCTTATACACCAGTCCGTTTCAACGTAAATGAGCCATTATCTTTCTAACTGTGGGTATACCATCACTTTTTCCTGTAAACCAAGTCCAAATTTTCTATAAATTAAAATTCCAAATTCCCACCACCAAAACACATCAATATGCCCAGCTCAAGACTACTCTGTCCAGGATCTGCATCCTACTTTTGTACTTCTAATATTCTACCTAATAAATGTCTTTGTGCTTCTTACAGACATGTCCTAAAAATTCTTTTTCTGTGGTGGAATTCAGCAAACCTGCAACCTGTCCCGTGAGTGTGATGACTCAAAGATTCCCCATCTGTCCTTGGGGACCTCTTCAACTCTGTCCATGACAAAAACAGCCTTCCATCCTGGCCTGTGTGCTGTGTGGTCAGGGTGCTATAGTTACACTGTTTCATAGAATTATTACAGGGTTCCTGTTCTTAATTCACTGAGGAGGATGGTCTTCATCCTCAGAGCTGGTGAACTGTTTTTACCTCACCTGCAAATGTTGAACAGATCCCACCAAAGTCATAAGTTGTAATCACTGTCACCTGAGACTTTCTTCCCTCTGGACACCGATCCATTATTTAGCATGTGGGCACAGCTATAGATCTGATTAACTCCCAATTATGTTGACTCTGTCCTGTTTTATTTACTTTCTGTTGTGCTCAAGGCATTCAGACTTTTTAAAAAATTCTTCAGATAAATTAACCTACCTTGTGGTTTTGGCATTCACTCCAAGTACATATTAATGTGCAAATTTCTTCAACAATGTAAAAATTTTTTTAACACAATTTGGGGAATTCAAGTTTTCTAATTTCTTTCTCCTGAAGTATAATAAGCCTTTCTAGAAACTTCCACCAGTCTTTATCATTTCTGAATTCCATCTTCAGGCAGGTATGGTGGTGCACGCATGTAATCCAGCACTTGGGCCTGAGGCAAGAGGACTGTGAGTTAAGGCCAGCCTGGATTACATAGCATGGCTCCTTTTCTGTTCTTTAGAAGTATGCAGATATTAACTACAAGTTTGTGACCCAGTTTGTAAGTGTACCGGTACATGGGAAGAAACCTCTGCAACAAATATCTCTTACTGCAGAAGGACTTAGCTTCTTACCCAACAGTTTCCTGGGCTCCACTGATCATTAGCCAAGTGAGTCTCCAACCTGGAATGCCACAGCTGCCATCATCCCCAGCACGCAGAAGTTCTCTGTTCTATTTTTTTTTTTTTTTTTTGGTTTTGGTTTTTCTCCGGTACCGGGAACCGAACTCGTGACCTTGCGCTTGCCAGGCAGGCGCTTTGCCACTGAGCTAAATCCCCAGCCCCTCTCTGTTCTTTTTGTTTAGTTCTTGGAGTGGGAAGGAAATCTCCCAAGTGGGAGTTCTTGAAGTGGGAGTTGGAAATCTCCCAAATTATCAAATGCTTACACTTGTATTTAAATGTTACTTTGTTTAGTCTTTACCTCCTTCCAAGTCAGATCCTCCAGTGCTTTTTCTACTTATTTCAGTAACAATGTTGACTCTTAAAAGGAAGGTTAACTACTACGAAATTAAGATTTAAAGAAATAAACCCTGTCTATGGATACCCATATAAATGCACATGGATTGTCCAGAGGAGACAGATACTGTCCTGACACCTTCACAGGCAGTGCAGCTTCCAGTCCTTCCTTTATCCCAATCTGAGCTGAGTCACACTAGCCCTGTTCTGTGTGCCCAATGTAGCCTACCCAGTGTAGCCTTAGCCTCCCACAAGTCATCTCAAGGTCCTTTGTCACTTGGAGATGTTGTCATGGATGTATTGGAAGGTCACCATGTTAGGGAGACTATCCTCTGTGACATAAGAGGCGAGTCTTCTTCCAGTGCCACCATCTATCTCCTTGCCTATCTCAGATTCAATTTCCTCCTAACCATATCTATTCTAAGCTTCCCAGGAGTTGAGAAATTAACTGAAAGATAACACTTTCCTCCCTACAGTAATGTTAATCATATCACTTGTTCAAATATTAAGCTAATCTTTCATTTGGCCTAATTTCTCTGAGCCAATTTGAAAATGCCTAATTATCCTTAAAATTATCCTAAATGTCAGAACTTTCTGGATGCTAGGGTTTCTAACACTTCTCATAACGCTCCTGTTTGTTCATCTGGGCTTTGGTACATAACAAAACCTCAACAAATATTTGTTAAATGAATGGATGACCAAGTGAGTCACATGTGTATATGTGTGTACACTTACACATATGTATTTTTTTGCGGTGCTGGGGATCCAATCCAGGGATTTGTGCATGCTAGTCAAGTATTCTACCTCTGACCTACATCCCCACCCCTCTTAAAAATTTTTATTTTTGCGATAGGGTCTCATTAAGTTGTCTAAGCTGGCCCTAAAGTTCTGATCCTCTTGTCTCAGCCTCCCAAGTACCTAGGACTGCAGGTGTGTACCACCATACAGAGCAGAATCAGTGATTTCTTAGGGAGCCCTGGTTTCACAGTAGGGAATGGCACTTGGAGACCACAATCCAGGTGCATGATGGTTCCATTGCTCCTGGGGTAGAGGCAGGAAATACATACTGTTGGAAAGAACAGGATGAATTTACACTTACATTTCCATTTCAAACTTTGAATGACAGCGTTTTTAGTTAACTTTTGATTTTATTCTTGTCTTTCTCAGAAAAAAACGTTTAACATAATTGATTATTAGCTTTAACCCACCTGCACATAAACTAATAACAATAACATTGCTGAATGAAATTTGATATTTCTTAATGACTCTTTCTTTTTTTAAAATTATGACTCTGTTTTCCTTTATAGTTGTAGTCAGGGTTTGCAAGGGAAAAGGTATAATACAGGATACATAATTTATATAATTATTTTATAATAGCCCCCCAAAGAGTCAAATGTGAAAGAGTGAGGGAGATTTATCCACATACTAGAGACCCAAAGAATCCAGCTGAGGGCCTGGATCTCATGGCAATGTCCTGCATGAGTCCAGCTGAAGACCTAGAATCCATGATAATGTCCTCCACAAGTCCAACTGGAGGTCTAGAGCCCACAACAATGTCTCACGCAAGTCTGTATCAAGGATCTGCACTGGGAAGGCCAGTGGTAAAAGCTAGAAAATCTGCGTCATAAGGATGCAGGATCTGTGCCAGCAAGCTGAAGGATCTGCACTGGAGCTAGGAAGCAACACTCGAGGTAAGGACCAGACCTCCCCCCAAAAGAGCCACAGCCATCCTCAATGACAAGGTCCTGAGCTCCTCTGATGATAAGAATGGACAAGTTCATATCAGGAAAGCCAGCATGACAAGCTTCTCTAGGAGAATCAACAGTGCACCATCTTCCCCTCGGGAGCTAGGAAGTGACACTCAGAGTAAGAACCAGAGCTCCCCAAAAGTGAACCTCAGCCATCCTCAGCAACAAGGAGGTCCTGAGCTCCTCCAAGATGAGAAGAGTGGAGACCTTATCAGGAAAACTAGTGTGACACGCTTCTCCAGGAGAATCAACAGCACCACCTCTTCCTCTCCAGTTCTCTTTTTTATGCTGTTGGCAACACCCTCAGGTGGGCTCTCCATGCCCAGCACCACACTGATTCAGTTCAGCTGGGTGATCCAAGTTGACAACCCAAGTTGACAGTTGTCAATCCACCACAATAGTTCACTAATTTGCACAAAATGTCATGTTCTGATACCCCGGAATAACCCCTGTGTAACTGTCCCTGCGTCCATATGCAGGTGGGCCGGACTCTATTGCTGTCTAGGCCCACAGTTTGGAGTACTCTGTGCCACCTGAGGGCATCCTTCAGTGTAACCCTAGCTCAACTGGAGCAGATGGGGTGTGCAGGAACCCAAGTGCCCTTGGACTTCTGAGCTCAGTGGGAAACAGCTCTTCAGCACATCTGTTCCTCCTTTCCTGCCTCTGATCACCTACTTAGACTGCTACTCTGAATCCCTCCCAACTTCTTGTGTCTGGGTCACCTTTTACAGAACCCAGTGTACAGCAATTCATTCATTTCAGATTCTAATTTTCAATTTTAGGGATTGTCTGAAAAATTTATTTTGCAAATATGCAAAATATTTATGTAAACTATTACTTCCCAGTATATTGTATTTTGTCCCATTCCCACCCATGGCCTGCATTGCCTGGACCTCCACTTTTTTATCTTGCTGGAGTCTTCAGATAAAAGAAGGCAAAAATGCACTTGCACTGTATTAAACATACTGTTATGCACTGTATCAAGGTCACCCTCATTCCTTCTCACAGCTCTGCAGTACTTCACTGCTTGGATATAGACACCTTATCTCCTAGCGATGGACATTTTGTTGTTTCCAGTATTTAAAATGTCATGACAAATAACTCCATAGTCATTTCATTTCTTGAGTTGGATTCCTAGAGCTGCTGGGTCAAAGGGAAATGCACATATAGTTTTGTTACATGTCATGGAATTGTCTTCCATAAAGGCTGCATTCTTACTAACCACTTGCAAGAGCTTCACATCCTACATCCTCACAGGAAATGTATGGCAACAAACTTGTGGATGTTCACATAGGTGGGAAATTTTATTATAGCCTTTTAATTTTGGCTAGCATTTTAACTGTTTCCTTAAGGTATTATTAGCAAGATAATGAACATATCCA